GGAGGTTTCTATTCTAAAAACCACAAATTCTTACCCACCAATCCATCAAACTAACTTTGATAATATGTTACATGAATAGAGAGGCAATAACAAAACTAGTTTATGAAGTAGACGAAGTTACGTAGCTAAATAAACGGGAGCGAGTTGAATTAGGTAAAGTCAGAGTATCAATATCTTAGAGTTTTCCAATGCTTCTTTTCAAAACACTACTACACTTAAAGGTTGAATGTTTAGGCAAATTTATACCTAACAAATCACGTCCTATTAAAGCAGTATTAGAGAACAAAGTCCAAGTCCAAACAGATCAATTCCGGCAAGCTAAACGTGTTATAGAGGAGGTAAAACGAAATGGAGAAATTAATCTGAAAATTACCTACACTACAGGAATTTTGTTTATAAAGCCTTTAAACTTATAATTTTGCCCAATTACAATACCATATATATGCACTGCTATTGCCAAAATGTGAATGGACTGATCACAAACCTAAAGAGAAACGGAATGGCTCAATAAAAAGTACATTAAATAATGATGATGAAGAAAGACAACAGCAACAATTTTTCCTCACTAACTTGAGGTAATCCATAGTGGATAAAAATTAAAAATGAATTTTCACATTAATATTTAATATTAACCGTTATTGAATTTCAAAGTGTTTCATATAGTAAAGTATACTTATTTCAGTTGTAATATTAAAGATACTATCAGCGAAAGTTGTACAGATTTTAGAGATCTTGGGATTTTATTCGATTCTCAATTAAGTTTTTCCAAGCACATCAATTTTGAATTGAGTCAATTCAGTGAAAATTCATTTCATGCAGTAGTGCCTAGACCGGGAATTAAACCCGGGCCACCGTGGTGGGAGTCGAGCATTAACTATTAATTAAATTTTATCTCCGTTATTATCAACACTAAAGAAGATTAACTCAGGATAGGAAAGAGTGGAGTTACGTGTCCAACCAGTCTTATGAATGACGACCTCATGATGATGATAATTGTCAACACTCACAAATAATTTTCATTTTTGTATTGGTCTAGGTACAGTAGCATTCGAACTACCTAAATTTCATTTTCTTTCTTGTGTAATTAATACCGAGAAATCGTACCAGAAGTTTCGATGTTCACGTGTAAACATATAATTACATATATTCCCATAATTGTGGATGTAATTGAAAATTTCTAATAGTTGTATTGATATTTTTGTCAGAATGTTTTGTTTTTGTATAATGATTACGATTACGATGTTGTTGCTTGTGCACTTGAATTCATACACATCTGTAATACATCATGTTATACGGTACTAGGTCTTCCAATTTTATGCAATGCTGGTGAAAGCAATATTTAACTAAGTTTGTTTTCAAGTCAGATTGGTCTAGGATTTGACCATCGCATAACGCTCTTCTGATTTGGAATATTTTATTATAACTGTCACCAAGAACGTTTTGGAATCATAGTCCGTTTGAATGAGACCTAAGAGAGTAAGACTAAGTATCATTCAATACGGAATCAGTGAATAAGATACACAGACAATGCAGCCAAACTTAACCGTTCCCATCATTGGAAAACTGAATTTTTAATCCTTTGCGGGTACTAAAATGTTCATTGCTATTTTATCTTCAGAGTCTTCATAATCTTTTGTCCATAATGAACCGGATTCATATTTTCTCTTTTTACGTCCCACGTTTGTTAAGTAACATTCATTTACCCACCCTCCTATTTTGTTTAGTTATGTCGTATTTCTTTTTTCTCCTATTTTCTTTTAAACTTTTTTCTGTTGTGGTGCATGCTTTCTCTTTTTTTTCTACTCCATTTCTTTATTTTATCAGAATTGAAACTGATGAACAGGTGAAATATCAGCTGGAGAAACAATTACTAAATCAGAAGAAATGCTATTAAGATTCTATCGCTGCATTAGATGTTCTATCCATTAACTCATCTTTCATAATATCTTTGCGTAAGTATACGATCAAGGGAGACAGCATTCATGAAGACTACGATGATAATTAGAGGATCCATTTCTGTAGATGTTAGGCTACCAACTTGCTTCTTCTCCTTTACTGAAATCACTCTTGTTGTATTCTCAATAACGCCTGTCTCGTCGACATTATATACTCTAGAAACCTTATGATTAATTTTGTTATACGCTTTTCCTTTATCAATGGAGAAAGAATGCCTAATGCAATTTTTCATTAAAAATTCAAATGCTATTTGTGCGTAATTCGCTACACATCATCTCGTTAGCTCAGGATGAACCAATGGACTAGTATTGCCAAATTAAAGACCCTTGTTGCGTTAAGCTTTATATTTTCAAAAACACAACACTATTTACAAAAACTTAATGTATAAACCTTAACCTACACATAACCCTGTTTATGTGCAGATTTCCCAAAATTATACTCCTTGAATTACAAACCCGATACGAGAGCGCGTACTCGTCATGAAAGAAACAAATGTACTTCTCTTTCTGAAATTCTTTCCGAAAAACTGTCTGCCTCTTTTTTTATTGCCACTTGCTTTCAAGTTTCGATCTGCCTGCATATAACCCATAATGTCCCAAAGAGAAAGTTAGCAGGTATAATCCCAGCCCTTGTAAATGTATATTTTTCAAAAAGGAGCAGACCAAATATTTTTTCTAGGAAATCTGAACACTATTCATATCACACCAGATCTACTCAATCTATGTCGACACTATACTCCATTAAACTGTTCTGAGGTTAATACAGACATACTTCACACACATCACGACATTCACAATAATTTTTATTTATATATAAACTTAATAACAATTGCGGCACCTTAATAAATAAAAACCACTTACTCAAGAGAAACTATAATTGCATATATATGGGTCCGCAATAATAACAAAGTAACAAAAAAGCATTAAAGATGTTAAAAAACATTACAAAATTGTACCTTATAACAAACTACTTAATATTGTAAAAATAAGAACTTTAACAGATTATTCTATACAATTACGTCATTATTTTACTTCCAAATTATTGATAAACTACAATTACTAACATGTAATGACAGTATGTTAACATTAACCTGACTTGAAAACTTCTTTACTAATGTAATGACGATGTTACAATGATTAATCAAACTATTTATATATTCTGTTGTACATTTAGACCCTACGCGTCTTCTTGAAGATTTATGTTATTGTTATTATTACAATTGATGTACATCATCTCCGAAACATTCCTTTGAAACCAACCGATTCACTATTATATTTATTTTTATGTTCTGTCAAGCTATCTTTCAACTTCTTTCAGTCTGTCCGATATAAGTATTACAATTTCTACAGCAAAAAGATGGAACGATTTCTACTGTGAATTTATTTGGTGACCAGTTTATTTGTTGAAGGAATGAACTATTCTGACAGTGTCAGACAGGATCAGATTATTATTATATATGATATTGTAAGGTTTAAAAAAGATGAATATATTATTCCCTCCTTTCGTTCCTGTAGTATCAATTATTTTAAACGGTAACTACTTAAAGTTCAATTAGCACTCGAAGCAATTGTTCTCTAATCCATTTATTTATTTTATCCTTATCTTCCACCGAATTACCCTGTGTAGTACAAAATCAATCAATAACAACAGATCGTCTCAATTTTTTAAAAAAGCAGCTTAAATAAGCTCCACTAACGCTAACTCTAAACTGTTAATGAAAAGAATTTTTACTCCAATAATAAATTAGCACCTAGCTTACTACGAGCTTACAGCTCAAACAACGATTTTTGAATATTACAACAATTAAAAACTACGTCTCAATGTTTTATGTGGAATGGTTATCAGAAACGCAAAGAGCATTTTTAGAAATATATAATATAAGTATTGTTTTTAAACCTTACCATACATTCCAGACATAAAAATATTAATAATTTAAAAAACAACGGTAACATGTCAACATAAGGGTCAAACCGAAAGGGCTTCGCACATTAGAATAAGAGAACATAAATATGATTAAAAGCAACTTAAAAAAATTAGGCCACATTTAAAAAAACAGCTTTACTCAAGCTATGGTAATTATTCAAACGGTTTCGGTACCTAATTTTGAAAATACAAAAGTCTTACAGGTAGAAGAAACTTATGCTAAGGATTTGTCCCTTCAAGTGACTTACATATTAATACAAAATAGAGGGACGTTGAACTGCCGTTTAAAATAGGAAAACAAACTACTCATTATCACTTATTACAACATTTTTAAGAAAGTTTTTGTTATATATATACTATCTTGATCTGTTCCTTTGCTAATTTATTTGTGAATGTAGTTATTACTAAATGGTATTTTAAACTGTGATTGTATATTTAGCATTTTATTAGTTACAACTAGATTTTTATCCACTTCAATTATTTATTCATGCTCTTATCTTTACTGCTGCGTATAATTTTATTAATGTACCCATTTCACAATTGCACTTCTTTGCTCTACAGAATTTACCCGACTAGAATGTAGAGTTCGGTAGTCAAGAGGTTGGCATTAGGCATGCCTAATTCCGCGTTAGGGCATAATACGGAAACCGCATTAGGCCCTAATCACAAAAGTAACGCATGCCCCCCTGAATGCCTAATTATGAAAACCTCATTGGGGTAACATTAGGCTGTAATTAGGAAATGTGGCATACGAATATTGGGTTATGCGGACCTAATGCGGCTTCCTCATTAGGCCCTTGTGCCTTCATTTAATTATATCCTAATATCTACCCAATGAGGTTTTCCTATTTGAATTTACACTCATAAAAAAAAATGGGATGTAGGTTATAAGTAAAAATTGTAAGCAATACTTTACACATATATTAAATAAAACGCAATACAGGAAATAGAAAACAATGTGCCTAACGCTATGTACATATATATGTATAGTATATGCACAGTAACATTTTTTTAGATAGTATTAGAGAACATTAAACCTCGTTGTTATTACGGGCTGAACGACCACCACCCCAATAGCGGCAGTGATATAGCCTAAATAATATCTATAGATAAACTGATAAATCTGTCGATTTCAAAGACTTTTTAGTAAGTATGCCTGCAATAGAAGTTATATATTTATAATATAATGTATTAATAAATGCACTGTAACTATTGCAAAGTACCTTCTATTAATTTATAAAAAATTGTAGTTTTAAATACTTTAGGCTTTCCTTCAGTTGGCTTCACAGGCGTGAATTTCAGTACCAAATCTCTCCAAAATATAATACCGCATTATGCTTCCACAATTTCTTGCAGATCTTGACGTGTATTTACCAGGGACAATAACTTTAGAATCAGAAAAAACAGTTTCATTTATAATATAAAATTCTACCTAATTTTCAATTTTTATATTCAATGCATGAAGTAAAAATGAAAATTTTAATAAAATAGGTAGTCAGAATTTTTTACTTAAAGCTGATCTCATTACTCAATTTGTTAACAAAATCGAAGTTGTAAAATAAATTCAATAAGTAAAATAAGTTCGAATAAGAAATTCGTAATTAAAAAGAAAACTATTTTACTTACTTGCAGTTCCACGAAGCTCAATAAAGTAACTTGGCTAATCACTTTTTGGATTGTCACAATTTTTAGTCATTTTTGATAAAATTTTACATTTTTGTCTATCGTATGGTAGTGGCATAAATCTGCACATTAATTTACCTCCTCGCTTGTCCACATAAATCCATGCGCTTAAAACAATATCGATTTTTTTTATTTGTTAAAAACGAATTCAATCTTTAAGTGCAGTATCATTATCCATCTTGCAGTTGAAATTTTTTATCACTTCACTTTTAAATTTTTGTTATATCTACTCTTCTTGAAAAGCAGTGGCACACTGAATAATGTACGCTTAATAAATTACATTCAATATAGGTACGATTTGAGATACAGGTGTTGCGCAAATTGTCGCTTCATGTACATATATTCAAGCCATATTATTTTCTGCACTTGCCGCGTATATTGCATCCGAACATTAATAACTTATTGTGAGACGGGATTTATAAAAAAAAACAACGGCTTTCTCAGAACACCAAACAAGTGATAAGGCGAACTATTCGTCGTTCCGTTTTACCAGTACATCACTGCCGCTTTTTGTTCGACGTCATTATACCGACAAAGAATTAACACATACATAGATACAAGTAGACAATACAGTTACAATACTTATATTAAGACAGAGCCGGGCAAACTCGGATCTTTTGCATCCCGAGTGATCCTCAAGGTTAACCAAGTAGCTCCTCATTGATCCTGCGAGTGCGAGTGAGATGATTCTTTCCTTTTCTTATCCCTTCCATTTCGTAGATGAGTCCCCTCTTCCATAGCCAAACCCAATAGTTTTGCGAACGTAGTAACGAAAATTTTCGTAGGTATTATTTAAGTTGCGAGAGTGGCTTCGCTCGTCTACGGGATGAAGGGGCTTGATATGGGAGTGGAAGGGAGAAGAAAAAGACAAAACAAAATTATTCATTACTGCTTACTCTCTCGTACTCATTGAAGGGTATGGAGTGACTCAAATTAACCTCATGTAGCGGCTCCTGCGAAGTTTGCCCGGCTCTGTATTAAGACATAACATTTTTTCTTGATATTCGTAATTTTATAATTTTCCTCGTACGTATTTTTTCTACATATACGCCACATTTCTAAATCTTTTGAATTATGGGGAAAAGTATAAAATGGTTTTCTTTTTTTTTAAATTTAATAGAAATTAGAGAAATTTTGTTAAAACAATTCGGTGTAAACAAATATTTTTATATCAAAGGTCGCACGTGTTCAATGTTAGACCTAAGGGGGGCAAAACTTAGGCATGTCTAACTTTAGGCAGCCTTACATTATCGGCATTAGGTTCGTATTAACGATTGCGCAGTGGCGCCTAACATAGGCGTGCCACACATGTTCCANGGTTTGTAGCATTTCTGGTTCTTCTACCTAAATTGCTTCGTCTTATAGGAGGCATATCAAATATAAATTATTTTTTCACTAATCACGAACTAAACAAACACTAACTAACTAAACACTCTGCACAAAACACGATATACAAATTTGTTTCGTGTATCAGTTGACAAAAGCAAACTCAGTAGATTAGGTAACAGACAACTTTCTTTTTTTTTTAAATTTGATATGACTTGAAGTCAAATCCTTTTAAGCCGTACGAAAAATAATAAAACACTGTTGGTAACGCGATTTTTGTTTGACTGATGTAATGACGTGGAAACTGATGCATTTTATCTCGCGTGCCGAAACTAATACAAAAGAAACGCGAGTTTCGGAACGCGACATTAAACTCCTCCAACTATGTATTCTGTGCTCCTACGCACACACGCACATTGTTTTGATAGATATGATCTTTGACGTTAGGAACACACCTACATTGCTTAGACAACAGTGAGTGCTTGTAATTTAATATGAACTTTATGCCATAGCAATAAAGCTCAAATTGACTACGTTTTAGTTACAAATCATTTGTATGGGAAAAAGAAAAGGGCTATTTTTAGGGTTTTTCCAGCAATAATTCTAATTTTTCTCGCTGTAAAAACCATCCTTGAACTTCAACGAACATTTTAAAAAAAGATTTGGCCAAATTGGTCCAGGCGTTGTTGAGTTATGCGCTTACCAACACATTTTGCGATTCATTTTTATATTATAGATGTTTGTATATATACTTATTAAAAGTCGCACGTGTTCAATGTTAGGCCGAAGGGGGGTAAAACTTAGGCATGCCTAACTTTAGGCAGCCTTATATTTCGGCATTAGGTCCGTACTAACGATTGCGCAGTGGCGCCTAACTTAGGCGTACCTCAAATGTTCCACACAAAAATTTCATGAGTGTTATCTGAACATGTCTTATTTTGGCTACTTCAATGGGGATTTTATGAGGTAACAATTAGGTTTCCCAAAAAAATTGATAGGGCATTCGTTACGCGTGCCTCATTTTGGCCAACCTAATGGGGGCCTCTTAAAGTAATAATTAGGCTTTCCATATTTTGGTTTGCCTCAGTGTTTCCTAAGTGGGTCCGCATTCGTATTTAGGAATGCCTAAATAGAATTCTAGACGGGTAGTATATAATATTGGGTAACTTGAAAACCTAGAAAGTATTGATGCCATGCATTAAAGCTGTTTCCATTATGTATAATTGAAATTATAACCTCGAAAAAAACATAGATTTGGTTTTGGGGTAATAATAAACGTTTTCACCCTGATTCAACCTTTTTTACTGATATAGTAATTAATGAATGTTTCAGAATCGTTGAGCAAAGTTTAAAAATTCGGAAAATTGAAACATGACTTTCTATTTAAGTAAAAAGATATCCTTTTCAGTTCGTTTTAATCAAATTGCCTAAAAACTGGACAAATAGTCCTATCTCCTGACTTCCGGATGAAAATTTTTAAAAATGAACCGTTTTTGCTCAATTTGATTTTGAACGGTTGCTTGCTTCGGCTTAGTCAATATGCGTTCTTCTCGTTCTGTAAGTAATGCAATGTAAACGCAATTTACGATCCCGGTCCCTTTTTTATGTAAAGTAGAATGATTCGGCCGAAAGGGGAAGTGTTTCTCAACTTTGAAGAACTTTTGGGAGACTACCAATGGCGACAACTGTCGATGTTGCGCCGCTACAGCTATCAGGAGTCGACACCTTTATACATTTTCGGGGTTTGATTTAGAATTCCTACGCTTTACCGAGAATAAAACTGGCAAAGCGTTTGGATTCTGAATCGAAACTTGGGTTTTATTGCTACGAAATGGATGAAAACCGGAACGAGCGAATGGTGAAGTTGGTTTAGGAGAAGTCGTAACTACAAAAGCGTAAAATCAATATTGTATGCACGAAAGAGATTCGACAATGTAAATTCTAGTAATGAGAATCGATTTTTGATTAAGTAACATATTAAATGCTTTCTTAAACTGATATTCGTTCTTGAAAAAGGTAAATATTGAACATTACTTTTAAGACGTCATATTATCTTATTATTTTGCATGTGAACAATATTTAATTGTATGTTGGTCCTTATAATAAGCAAGTGACTTATTTCGACTAAAAGGTTTTTACTTATTTTTGTAAAAAAATATAAAATTTGAGCTGCTATTCATACCAAACTAATTAAAACTAAGGAAAATAATACTGGCCCACAATCAAAATCTACAGACATTTAAAAGAACCTATCATATACCTACCCTCATTGCGATCGACTCATCAACAGACGCAAGTAAAAAATTATATTGGTTATCCAAAAAAACATTTTTATCTTATTGTTTGATTATAAAAAATTAAAAATTACGTGCTCACTCTTAATGTTTGATTAATAAGTGGTTCAGGAATATTCGTTTTGTAAAAGTTGTGATGAGGTTGCATCTACCAATTAAAAATGTTGTATTAACTCTATGGTGCACAGTGGACTTTTGGAGCACGGCTCTTTATGGGTGGGAAACGCTACGGAATAGAAAAAATTAGAAGCGTTTCAGATATGGTATTATAGGGGATGTTAAAAATGTTAGTAATTACTGGAGATGAGGAAGTAAGAAACGTTTTAGAGCAGGATGTCTGTCAAACTGGTTATTGATGCGTTATTTAAGTGCAACAATATACGATGATTTTGACAGCGCCTAAAAAGTGTAATGAAATTCGTTAAAAAAGTAAAAATCTCCGAAAATAATAAAAATAAATAAATATTGTAATTCACAGTTGGATTGATTTGGTATAGCACGATCTACGGCTTCACTAAATAAATGATCATTTTTCAAAATAAGTAACGCCAAATAAAATTTCTATGCTGATAGAATGTTTTATTTCCGAAAAAAATTTTCCACTTTCTATGTCCTCTACATTTTGAAAGCCTGAATTTAAAATGCCCTTTATATGTCTAACTCAAAATGTTTATCAAGCATTTCGATCAAATTTGTTTCTGGTAATTGCTCGGATAGAAAAAGCGCATCTTTAACCATTCTCAAGAAATAATCTGCCCTACTATCATTTCCATATTGTTCTCCTCGCAGATTCAATAATACTCTCCTTTATTGTTCTCTTTCCCAATATCTCTATATAAAAGGCCTTTTAAATTCTTAAAAACTTTTTAAAGATGATTCCTTCAATTATGCCCAGTCAGCAGCAGAACCCTTGAGAAAATTTAGGGCTAGTTTTACATTTTTGTCGTCAGATACTCCGGCGTCATTCAATAAACTCTTTAATTTTTTTACAAACTGTATTGGGTAATGCAACCCCCACCCACCAGGTGAAAAACTTAAATTTTGACCCCGCAGTTCTTTAAATAGAGAAATATATCATCGATCCATCTTATTTGTATCGTTGCTATTTATCATAAAATGATTGATTAGTTTCATTGCCTTGCTATTTATTGATTAAACTAACATCAACTTTACACTAAAGCTTAATTTTGAATCATCTTTTTCTAGTTTAGTAATTCCAACATTTGTTTCGTTTATATCAGATTGTTGCAAATTTTAACGAAATTAGATTTTGTTTCTTTGTTTCTTTTTTAGAGGCATATTGTTTGGCTATTTGTAGGTCATAATACATATACACTGATACAGATACCTCAATAGGTAAATTTCTTTACAACCCCCATATATTCAGCTTATTTACCTTAGAATTTACGCTTTTCTTATCTGTTCCACATTAGGCGCCAAAATGTAGTGTTTTTTTAAGGTGAGCACTTTCATTATGATATATCTAAATATCATATATTTATATATATATTCGAAGCGGGGCAAATAAGAAAAACATTCACGATCAAAGAAAACCTTAACGATAAACATAAAGAATGAAATTTTCTAATTTTTATATTACAAACAAATACTTACCT